TATATATATATATATATATATATATATATATATATATATATATATATATATATATATATATATATATACTTACCCCCCCACACACATACATACATGCATATATGTATATATATTAATGGTCTTAAATCACATTGGCAAAACTTTTAATTGGTTTTGTTAGCCAGTCGTAAGGATAGTCATTCCAAATGGGAAATCCGAGCTCAGGATGCGTACCTCGAAAGGGTTAAGGGACAATTTTTCCCCAAGATTTAGTTGTGTCAACATTTGGGGACCAAAATTGCTCTAAACGGTCTATTGTTAGAGTGCATGGCTTTTTTCCGGCTCCACTTTGGCGGTTACCATTTCCTTTGGTTCATTTCTGATAGCCAAGGTTAGAGCCGGAGTTCCGGAGACCAAAATGGTGAGCGCACCAGCATAAGTTGCTTGTAATTTGTCTGCAGCAAAGTTAATAAGCCTCAGGATATATGAAGAAAAAGTAGTTTTGGATGAATGCCCTGATAATTTATTGTGAAATGATCCTTCATTTCGTTGGCTGGAAGGAATGCGTGAGTTGGTCTTACCGGAAAACGAAGGATAATTGCCATGGAGAGAAGAAAGTTGGATTGTGCGAAGAGGTCTTAGGCTCACTGTCCTGCAACCCTGACTAAACTGTGTTTACTGGGGGAAATTTCATTTCGTATGAAAGTGCATGAAGAAGAGATTCGTAGGTCAATCTCACCAGAAGAGGACGGATGAAGCCCGTTGTATTGCAGCCGTTTGGCTTTTTTACGACGTTCCGGTTGACTCAGTCGAGTGAAAACGAGCTGAGCTTTCGTCCATCATTCGAGGGACATCATCAGAGCTGGGTCTCATTCCTGCAAAGGTCTCACGTCAACAGTAGGGCTTCTTGTCATATGACCTATGAATCTCTTCTTCATGCACTTTCATATGAAGTGAAAGTCCCCCAAACAATGTTGTATCATGAGATTCATCGAAACCGACTTTCTTTTTGTATAGAAGTTGTTTCACCCTGTATTCGCAACATGGTCCTATTGGTAAGAAGACTTAAAGGAACGCACCTAGTCCGGATTCCATCGTCTGCATGATCATTTCCAAATTTGAACCGTGGACGTGGTACATTCCCAAACGTTTCGCCGGCATCGTCAGTGAGTATCGCCATTCTTAGCACAAGTCTCTTTTACGAGTTGTTGTGTGGTGTTAAGAATGGCGATACTCACCGACGAAACGTTTGGGAATGTATCACGTCCACAGTTCAACTTTGTAAATGATCATGCAGACAATGGAATCCGGACAAGGTGCGTTTCTCTAAGTCTTCCTACCACTAGGACCATGTTGCAAAAACAAGTTCAAACAACTTCTATACAGCGAAAAGAGACTGCGACCACACAAATAGCCACACCATCCTGGTCTTCATACTTTCGTTTCGTATCTTCAAACTGTGATTAGCCATAATCTGTCATTTTGACATTAGTCTTTATTCCAAGTCACGTTTCCCTCGTTTTTGGTGAGACCAATTGACGAATTCATTCTAAATGACAAGTCATCTCGCATAAAGCATCAGGACGCCATTGAAATTCACTTCGTCTTGTCTCTCAAGAGTCATTCTCATCCTGTCCGGCCTGGATTACAGTTGCCATCTCATTTCATCGTCTAGTACGTATCTCCAAAAGGATTCGAGCTCGGCCCGTGAATATGATGGCGACGTGACCAGTCCACAGCATAGTCACGGTTGTCAGTAGGTCACAGAATAGATGTGATATTCGCAGCAAGCCAAGTTTCACCGAAATCACATGCATTTGCCATTGTAATCGACGTCATCAATTACGGTATCCTTGCCGTCTGCTGTGAAGTGGAGTAATAACGTCGTTAGGATACTCACGACGGAGGTGAGGAGAGGTTGAAACTTCAATTTATTCCAGACTGCCTTTTGGTAGCCAAAGCTAACTGTGAAATTGTGTTGTCATCTCGAGACACAAAATCTGAGCTTTCAATAAATGAAATAATTGCATAATCCAAAAGTACTGGCAGCCTCGGAATGAAGACTTTTCACAAATTTGGAAGTTCTAAATCATTGAAATGAGCAGAATTTGTGGAACGAAGTTGTGTTACAAAATGTTGTGTTCTGCTGAATTATCATGATCAAATTATACTCTATTTGGCCACACGACGACGGTCGAATTGAATGTCTTCAGAGTCATATCCCCGTTCTTTATCTCCTCCTTCTCCTTCTCCTTCTCCTCCTTCTCCATCTCCTCCTTCTCCTCCTTCTCATTCTCCTCTTTCTCCTTCTTCTCCTCCTTCTCCTTCTCCTTTTCTTTCTTCTCCTCCTTCTCATTCCACTCCTTTTCTTTCTTCTCCTTCTTCTCCTCCTCCACTTCTTCTCCTTCTTCTCCTTCTTCTTCTCCTTTTTCTCCTCCTTCTCCTACTTTTTATTCTCCTCATCCTCCTTCTCCTCCTTCTCCTTCTCCTTCTCTTCCTTCTCCTCCTTCTCATTCCACTCCTTTTCTTTCTTCTCCTTCTTCTCCTCCTCCTCATTCTCCTCTTTCTCCTTCTTCTTTTCCTTCTCTTCCTTCTCCTCCTTCTCATTCCATTCCTTTTCTTTCTTCTCCTTCTTATCCTCCTCCTCCTCCACCTTCTTTTCCTCCTTCTCCTCCTTCTCCTCCTTCTCCTCCTTCTCCTCCTTCTCCTCCT